GCTGCTAGGAGGAGGGGTGGGGGAAGGGCTGCCTGCCTCCAATCCTCCCCACTCCAGTCCATCTGCTCTTCAGTCACCAAAGTGATTTTCCTAAAGCACAGGGCTGGCCATGGCACCCCCTATCCAATAAACTCCAGTGGTCCCCTGCATTTATATAGTGCCTGAAAGTCTGCTAAGAGCTTTATAAATATTATCTCATATGACCCTCACAATAATCTGGGGGGGGAAGGAGGAAGAAAGGAAGGGAGAGAGGAAAGGAGGAAGGAAGGAGGGAAGGAAGCCCCATGCTAAGCACTTTACTTGATCCTCACAACAACTCTGGGAGGTGAGGCTGTGATTATCTATTTTACAGTTGAGAAAACTGAGACACATACAGATTAAGTGACTTGCCCAGGATTCCAGAGCTAGTATATGTCCAAGGCTGCATTTGAAGTCCCCACTTCCTCACTCTAGTTCAGGATCAAACAGAAAATCCCTGTTTGTTGTGCAAAACCTTCCATAACAGCATCCACTCCCCACCCCTAACACCTTCCCAGTCTTCTTACACCTCCCACATGTTCTGCATATGCTGGCCTCCTGGCTGTCCCACCACCAAGACCATCCATTTCCAATCTCGAGGCGTTTTTAAAGCCTGTACCCCACGCCTGGAACACTCTCCCTTCTCAGCTCTGACTACTGACCCCCCTGGCTTCCTTCAAGTCGCAGCTCAAGTCCCGCCTTCTGCATGAAGGCAGCTAGGTGGTGCCAGAGTGCACAGAGATTGGGCTTGGAATCGGGAAGACTCATCATTCCGAGTTCAAATCCAACCCCAGAACCTGGAAGACCCTGTGGCCTCTGTTCCTTATCAATAAAGTGGGTTGTCGCGAAAACCCCAACCGGGGTCACAAAGAGTCAGACAGGACGGAATAACAATTCTGCAGGAAGTCCTTCCCAACTGTCCTTGTTTCTGTCCTATGTATCTAATTATCCTGCAAGAAGAGATCCGCTAGGAAGCTCTCCCCCCGCCCCCCAAGGTATCCCCAGCCAGGAGCTCCTCCCTCCCTCTGATGGGGGAGCCCCTGGGGCAGCCAAGGCATTCTTCTCACCCCTTTTCCCCACTCATAACTTCCAGACACTCAGCATTCTTTAAGATGGCTTGGACTGGTAAATCCAACCCTTCCCCAGCTGCAGGGCGTCCTCCTTTGCCAGTGCCCAACAGCCTGCCTTTCCCAGCTTGTTAGGTGCTGTCTCCCCAGTTACACCGCGAGCTCCTCAAGGGCAGGGCGGGCTTATGGCCCTCTTTGCATCCCCAGTACTTAACCCTGGATTCCCCCCCTCCCCCAGCACTTAATAAATGCTTATGGCCTAACAGGAGAGTGTATACAGGACGGATGCAGATCCTAGAGAAAAAAACCAAAGCGCGGCTGAAACGCTAGCAGCTCTGGACGGTGGAAGCCGCCAGGATGCTGGGGGGTGGGGGTGGGGAGCAGGACGGCTGCAGGAGGGAGAGCGTCCCTGGCCGGAGGGAGGCCGAGGACGGCTGAAGGAAGGAGGGCATATGCCTTCTGACAACATGGCGAACTGGGACTCACTGGCGTTTCTGCGCCTGCGCCTCAGCTGCCGGAAGCAGATTGGGAGGTGTGGCTTCAGTCGCGGACGCACGCGCAGTCTCCAAGCCTGTGTCCCACGTGTTATTAGAAGTAGGCGCCCGGACTTTCCGGACCGCTCAGCGCAGCTGCGCACAGTCATCTCTCGTTAGCTGACGACCCGGAAGCAGTCGTGGCCCATATAAAGTCCGAGACCCCGCGGGCGCGGCCTCTTTCCTGTTCCGGCGTGTGAGTGAGGCGCGTGGGGTGAACGCGGCCGTGACTCTGAGCCTCTGCGCCTGGCATTTAGAGGCTCCTCCTGTCCCGAGAGCCGACCGAGGACCCAGCGAGTGAGTGCGGGCCTCCGCGCCTTTGCCCGGCATCTGCCGATCCTCTTACCCCTCCCCCAACACAACTTGTGCACAGGGGAAACTGAGTCGAGAGAGAAGCAGCCTGTAGGAGGGGTGGGAGGCCGCATTGGACCAGGTCTGGCTTCGGTTTTCCGTCTGTCAGCGGCTGTGCTGGGAGGAGGGCTTCAGCGCACCGGAAGGGCCTTCCCGGGATCCTGCCCCGGGGGCTGCTGGGGGGAGGGCATTGCCACAGTGGGAGGATGGCTCCCCATCTCTCTGTGGAGGGAGAGGGCATCTTCTCACTGGAAAGACTTCCCATAATTCTCTAACGGGTGGGAGGGGTGAGAGGAGAGCATTGCCACACTGGAAGGGCCTCCCCAGATTGGGGGGAGGGCATCTTCACACTAGAAGGAATGCACCCCCAATCCCCTGTGGATGGAGGGAGGTATTTCCACACTGGAAGGACTCCCCATAATTATTCTTCTCCAACAGAGGTGGGGGAGAGGTGGGGGGGAGCATTATCACTCTGGAAGGGCCTCCTTACAATTCTCCTTTAATGGGAGGGAGGTAAGAGGAGGGCATGTTCCTGCTGGAAGGACTGCTCCCCAATAATCTCCTTGTGGATAGAGGGAGTATTTTCATGCTGGAAGGTCTCCCCATAATTCTTCTCTAACAGAAGGGGGAGCATTACAACATTGGAAAGACTGCCCATCCTATAGATGGGGGGGAGGGTATCTTCCCACTGGAAGGACTGCTCCCCAATAATCCTCCTTGGATGGAGGGGGGCATCTCCACACTGGAAGGACTGCCCATAATTCTCCTCTAACGGGGTGGAGGGAGGTGAGAGGAGAGCATTGGAAGGGCCTCCCCAGATTTTGGAGGGCATCTTCTCGCTGGAAGGACTGCTCCCCCAATAATCGCCCCATGGATGGAGGGGGCATCTCCATACCCCCCGCCAGGCCGGCCCTGACCCTCATCTCTTTCCCCAGCATGACTGAGTGGGAGACAGCGGCGCCGGCCGTGGCCGAGACCCCAGACATCAAGCTGTTTGGCAAGTGGAGTACGGACGACGTGCAGATCAATGACATCTCCCTGCAGGTGAGCATGATGGGGAGCCCTGGCCTTGGCTTCCCTGGGGAGTGGGCGCTCCCTGGAGACCCTCCCTCTGGGGCCCAGAAATGACCAGTCAGCCACGGTGGGGGTGTCTTTGCTCTCCCCGGGGGCTGCTCATGACCCCGGGTGCCCCATTTCTGCCCTTCCTCTCAGGATTACATCGCCGTGAAGGAGAAGTATGCCAAGTACCTGCCCCACAGCGCAGGGCGCTATGCTGCCAAGCGCTTCCGTAAGGCCCAGTGCCCCATCGTGGAGCGCCTCACCAACTCCATGATGATGCACGGCCGTAACAACGGCAAGAAGCTCATGACCGTGCGCATTGTCAAGCACGCCTTCGAGATCATCCACCTGCTCACAGGGGAGGTGAGGGGGCCTTGGGGCTCATCGCCAGTCACCAGACACATGCTGGAGGGGCTTTGAGATCATGTGCCTGCTCACGAGGAAGGTGGTAGGGGAGGAGCCCAGACATCATTGGGCTGTTTCCTGGACAGATGTTGCAGGGTGCTTTGAGATCATTCACCTCCTCACAGGAGAGGGATGGGGGGGAGGAGCCCAGACATCATTGGGCTGTTCCCTGGACAGATGTTGCAGGGTGCTTTGAGATCATTCACCTGCTCACAGGAGAGGTATGGGGGTGTGTGTGTGCCTAGGACACTCACCTACTGAGCATGCCTGAGAGCTTGGGGGTGCAGGATGTGTCCTAGGAGTCATCCCCCTGCTCGCTGGAGAGGCATGAGGGGTGGGTCTCCCATCCCGCAGGCAGGGTCTCGTGATGGGAGAGAAGGCCAAGTATCAGGAAGAAGCTGCCCAGCTGGTGGGATTCCCCCCAGGAGGGTGAGGCTGAGGCCCATGGGGCTGAGGGTGAAACAGCCCACTGAGTTGTTGGGTCATTGGGCCAGTGCTGCTTTCACCAAACACCGGCCCATTCTTCCATGACGTAGGTGCTCTCACCCTGACCTTTGGTTTTGTGGGAGGGCACTGGGCTTCCCCGTGGTGGGCACCCTGGGAGCAGCCCCTACCTTTATGGCCTGACCTGCCCTCTCTATGATATCTGACGTCCTGGCTGTCTCCTCGTTACCACCCGTGACAAAGGGCCATGCCTACTGAGAGCCATTGGGGGTCAGGGCCCTTGCTGCCTGCCAGTGCCAGGAAGCCTAGCTGGGCCCTGGATTTCAGGAAAGGGCCTCGGATTGGAGGGCCAGTTCTAGCGTGAGCTCCTGGGCAAGGCTTCCCGCATTGGGATGGACCCATCAGCTGCCGCCTCTGTCTCTAGAACCCGCTGCAGGTCCTCGTGAATGCTATCATCAACAGTGGTCCCCGAGAGGACTCCACCAGAATCGGACGGGCAGGGACTGTGAGGCGCCAGGCAGTGGACGTGTCCCCCCTCCGGCGGGTCAACCAGGTAGGGGCAGCAGGCGGCTAGCCTGCGAGTGGGTGGTGCGGGGACCCTTGGGGGCGTCCCAGGGTGGCAAGAGCTCATTCCTCCAGATTCCCCAGCATAGCCAGCCTGGGCTAGGCTGGGGTCGGACAGGCCCTCACCTGGACGTTCTCCCTTCCCCAGGCCATCTGGCTCCTCTGCACGGGGGCCCGAGAGGCAGCCTTCCGCAACATCAAGACCATCGCCGAGTGTCTGGCCGATGAGCTTATCAACGCTGCCAAGGTGAGTGGGCCGGGGCCTGCCGGGTGGGCTCGGGTGAGCAGGGAGAGGATGGGAGCGGCCCCTCCTCACCCATTTCCGGCTGTCCTCCCTCCCCAGGGCTCTTCAAACTCTTATGCCATCAAGAAGAAGGACGAGCTGGAGCGTGTGGCCAAATCTAACCGCTGATCCTGGCAGCCTCTGTCAATAATAAATGCCCCCGCCCCCTGTAGTGGGAGCAGGGTCCCTGTGCCTGTCTCTGCTGTTTGCTGGTCTTGGGTTGGGGTGGGGGGGGGGGTCTTGGGCCACCCACACACATGGAACATACATAGAACATACATGCACACATAGACCTGGCCCCCAGAGCTCTGGGTGGAGGTCAGGAGAAGCAGGTGATCAGCTGTCTGCATCCTCGCCATACCCAGGATCCTCACTGGCCATTTAGCCAGGCAGCCAGGCCCCAGGCTGGCTGCCCCCCACCCCTCTCGGCCCAGGGGATCAGTGGACTCTGAGGAGGGCCAGTAAGTGGGTGGCCTTGGCCCTCATTAGTGGACTGGCTGGCCCCTGAATCCGTGGGTGGTCTGGGCCCTATGCTGGGCAAAGCCCTTTACTGCATGCAGTAGGTGTCAGTTCCCCATCTGGGAAATGGGTGGTTCCAGCCCATGGGACTCCTCCCCACCACCTTAGGAGTGGGGCTGCCAAACCCAGGGGTCACAGAGTTGAGGGGCGGGCAGCAGCTGGGCAGGGTTTCAGCAGGTCTGCATAGCTGGCCAGCCAACAGCTGACTGCATGCTAGCCTCAGGGCACACCCCCTTATGCAGGCCCCTCATGCCTGTGGGGGGAAGGTGGTATTGCCGAGATGGGCATGCATTCCTGGCCACCCCCGCCATCCGGCCGGCCAAGGGGGTGGGGCGGCCCCCACAGGTGCAAGCGGGGGGAGGCTGGGCCCAGGGGAGGTTCTACCCACCCCCGCCCTTCCATTCTGTCTTGGGATGTAGCTGAACCGGTCTGGCCTGGGAAGCCAAGCTGGGGTTAGCAGTGGACCCCACCCCACCCACGCCCCCTTGAGGAAGACAATCCTAGAGAGACCGGAAAACCAAGGTTGCACAGGCCTGGGCCAGCCTGGCCCAGGAAGGAGTCTGGCAGCCAGCTCCAGAGGGGCCAGACTGCTTGTGGCTTCCCCCCAGGACAGGTAAGGGGGCCCTTCTACGACCTCATCCAGCACCTCAGCCTCCCTCTTGTCTTCAGACTGGGCTGCTGCCCTCTGTCTCTAATCCCTCACCCCGCAAAAATCGGATGCTGGGGAGCCTTGCCCATCTCCCATTTGAGGGCTTTCGCCTTGGGGTGGCCCCTCTGGCTCTGCCCCTTTTCTTGGTCAGTCTCCCTGTCTCACCCTATGTCTCCATCCTCCTTTCTGGCTCTGGTCTCTTTAAGCAGGACCGTTGCCACAGTCTCTGTAGGGGGTCTACCTGCCCCAGGGCTCCTTGCTACCATCCGGCTCAACTCCAGGGACTCCCACCCAACCTGGGGCCATTTAGAGGCTTCCCTCAGAGACTCTAGCCCCTGGCTGCCCCTCCCGGGGCACCCTCTAGCCCCAGGCTTGGAAGGCTCTCCCTCAGCTCCAGCTACTGGCCTCCCAGGCTGCCTTTGCATCCCTGCTGAAATCCCACCTCCTACAGGAAGCCTTTCCTGGCTTCAGTGATCCTGTGTAGGGCTTGTGTGTGTGGTGGTTTACTTGTATTCCTTGTGCTTGGCACGGGGCTGCCAGAGGCATTTACGGAGTGGGTGAAGGGACTGAGCATTTATAGAGTGCCTGTGAGTCAGGCTGGTGCCAAGCAGTGTACAATGGTCTCCTTTGAGCCAACAACCGAGGGAGCTAGGTACTGCAAATTGGGAAACTGAGGCAGGTCACAGCTAGGAAGGGTCTGAGGCTGGACGGGAATCCAGGTCTTCCTGCCTCTGCTCTGTTTTCTGTCACTGGGCTGCTGTGCTGATTGACTTGATTTGCCCCACCGTGCCCTCTCCCTGTCTCTTCCCAGCTCTGCCTCCCTCCTGATTACGTCTCTCCCTGTCTCTGATCCTCTGTCTCTGTCTCCACACATCTGACCCTTTACTGATAAGGTGTCTCCCTGTCTCTCCAGCTCTGCCGCCTTTCTAGTTCTGTCTCCCCAGCATTGTTCCCTTCCTGATTAGGTCTAGTCTCTCCCTGTCTCTGATCTCGTATCTCTGCTTTCTCATCTAGGTCTCTGATGCCTTGCCCACTTACTTGCCTCCGATGGCCTCGAGGCCCATCCCGTTCCTGGTCCCTCCCCACCTCTCCAGGGGCCGGTTCCACTGCACGCTCCCCGGTGGGAGAGGAAGAGGAGGAGGATGAAGATGGGGGGCCCAGGCCCGGCCCTGCCGAGGTGGAGTCCCCTATCCTGCCTCCTCCATCCCCCATGGACTGCCTCATCTGCGTCTCCCCCTTTGACGGTGTTTTCAAGCTTCCCAAGCGCCTGGCCTGTGGCCACGTCTTCTGCCTGGAGTGCCTGGCGCGGCTCTCGCTGGCCACTGTAGGCAGCGGGGAGGCTGTGGCCTGCCCCATGTGCCGGGCGCCCACCCGCCTGCCCCCCCGCCGCGGTCCCCCCGCACTGCCCACGGAGCCCGGTCTCCTGCCCCGGGAGGCCCAGGGCCCCGGCCTCTGCCAGCACTCGGTCCGATTCGACAGGCGGCGGGGTCTTCTTTACCTGCGCCCTCCTTCCTCGTCCTCGGGGTCGTCCAAGGCTTGTGAGGGCCCCCCGCTCCCCCCTCCTTTGCGGCTGGGCCGGCCCCAGCCCAGGACTCTCGGCTGGGACCGCTCGACGTGGGCCTTCCACGCCGCGGTCACCCTGGCGGTGCTGGTCACCGCGGGGCTAGTCGTCTCTGGGGTCTACATCTTCTTTCTCATTCCCCACTCCACCACTCACGCTATGGTCCTCCCACGCCCGCCCCTGGCCTCTCCCACCAACTCCTCTTGGTTTCTCCCCCCTGTGACTGCCGATGCAGGACCCTCGGCCTTGCCCCCACTCCTGCGGCAGACCGAACCCTTGGGAAATGTGCTGGCCACAGAGTTCTCTGGGCCCCCGGATCCCGGGACCCTGCCTCATGATGGCCAAGAGGGGTCTGGAACCCCGAGCTCGAGCCAGGCCAAGTTCCCAGGAGAAGAGGCCATGGGCGGTGACCCTCTGGGGGGCTGAGAGAGGAGTGTTGGACTTCTGTCTGTGGGCATCTGGTTTGGCAGAAAATTCAAACCTAGAGGAAACCGAGGCAGCCCAAGCAGATCTGGGGTCTTGGGCCTCTTATAGATGGGGAAACCGCCGAGGTAGACGCAGGGGCATGAGCAAAGGTTGCATTGAGTGTGAGGAGGATCACTTTAGCACTGGCCAAGCCTGGCTGTCCTGGGAGGGCTCAGCTTGGCCCCAGGCCTGGTCATGGGCCCCCAGATGGATCCTGGGAGCACAGATGTAGAGCTAGAATCTAGTACAACTCCTCATTTTATAGAGAAGGAAAGTGAGGCCCAGCAAAGGGCAGCCCCCTTTCTCAGGTCCTGCAGGTAGTGAGTGGGATGTCAGCCCACCCACGTGGGTCAGGGGAGAGGGGTCCAACTGGACTAGTCATTTCCTTTCTGGGAGCCTCTCCATCTGAAAGTAGGGCTGGGCCACAGTGGGGGGGAGGGAGGGGTTGAAGCTTCCTTTTCCCCCTGGAGCTTCCTTCATTGCCTGGGGATCTCCAAGCACTTCTCCCTGAGTCACAGAGGCCATACTCAGCTCTGGCAACCCATCCACCATGTTTGTACCCATCTCCTAAGCCCTTGGTGCTGAGTGCTGGAGGGTCTGCCTGCCCACTGCAATCCAGTGGAGCCACAGCTCCCTGGCCCCTCCCAAGCCCCCTCCTCACACATGTACCTCCATGCCCACTCCTGGGTCCAGCAGCGTGGTACCAGGGGCTACCGAAAGGCCAGATCCCACCCCAGTTCCTTCCTGAGGGGTGGCCCAATGCTTTGTGCTCTCCAGGGCTGTGGGTTTCCCTGAGCCAAGGAGACCTGTCTCCTATCTCCCGACTCCAAGCCTTTGCCCTCGCAGTGCTCCATGCCTGCTCTGCTCCCTCCCCTGGACTACTCCAGCCCCACCTCTGAAGGACCCCGCCACCATCACACCCCATGGGTCCATCCTAGAGGATGGCACAAGACTGTCAGCTCCCTGAGGGCAGGTACCTGCTTTATCACCGTCGGGAAGAACTGTGATCCCCCTCCCCCATGCCTCGATTTCCCTTTCTGTACGAACTAAGAGGCTCTGCAAACTCCCGGGATGATCATATTAGCTTTTGTAATAAAAGCCTGTTGATTGACTAACTGACGGATTCCTGGTTGTGCCACTACGTGCTCAAGATTCTTCCCTTCTCTGGGAATTCTGGGGCTATGTAAGAAAGAGGGCTATCTCCAAGCGCCGCCTGAAGCTTTGAAGGTCGGGCCCAGGACTACACAAACCACAGTGCGTCGAGGAGGTCATGCGCACGCGCAGAGGAGTCTTTAGGTCAGCCTCCCCACCACTTGTCCCAGGAGGCTTCGCGCGCTCCAGGAACAATAGCCGGAGCAGGCGGTTGCTATGGGACCGTGCTCCGCCCGTGCACGCGCCGCCTCCCCGGTTGTCATAGAAACGACTAGGCCCGAGCCCCCTGGCCCGGGCCAGGCGTGTGGGCGGGACAACGGGACAAAGGCGAGAGCGCGTCCTTTCGGAGGGTCAGGAGAGGCCGCACCCCGAGGGCCGTGGGAGGAGAGTTCTCCAAGAGAGGCATCCTGGGGACAGAGCTCGAGGGCCCGGTCTTCCAGACAGCCTGGTGGAGGCCGGAAGTGGGTGCGACCTTGCTTCCGGTTCTGTCCGCCCTCGGACCAATGGGAGGCAGGGAAGCGAGGGTCCGGCTGTGGGCAGGAGGGAGCGCTGGGCGCATGCGCAGGACTCCAGTTTCACCCCCCCCATTATTCCCAACCCCCATTGAGGATTCAGGGAGCCTTCTTCCGTCTCTGCAGTGGGTTGTTGGGGGCCCCAGAAGCCTGCCGGACGAGGGCTGGGCCCAGGGCCGGGCAGAGGAGAAGGAAGGAGTTGGCTCCCCCAGGGAGGGAAGGCAAGGCAAGGCAGCGCTGCCCTGGTTCAGTTTGAGAGGCCTTCTCTGAGCAGGAGCCTCCAGGAGAGAACACACAGCTGTGATGCATGTGGCTAGACCTTCAAACACAGCTCACACCCCATGAACGCCCCGAGGATTCACTCTTGGGGAGACTGTCAGTGTTGTGCATTGTGGAGAGCTCAGCACTTAACTAATTCAGAGAATTCACACCAGAAGTGAGGGCTGTGAAAAAGCCTTCCTCCCACCTCAGAGAACTTATACTGAAGAGAAACCCTATAACTGCAATGAGTGTGGAAAAACCTTCAGCCAAAGGTCGTACCTGCTGGAACATCATCAGATATTCGCTGGGAGAGGCCTTCTCAGTGTAACAGTGTGCTCAAGCATCAAGGGCAGCTTCACCCTTACAAAGGACAAGAGAATTCACACCAGAGACAAAAGCTTCGAGTGTGAGAAGAGTGGGAAAGTCTCAAAAGAGCTCAAACCTGGGCAACACCAGAGAGTTCACACCAGAGAGAAGCCCTTTGAATGTGGGAAGGATTTCAGAGTGAAGTCAGTCCTCATTCAACATCAGAGAATTCATACTGGAGGGAGGCCCTCTGGATGTAAGAAATGTGAGAAAGCTTTGAGGGGCAATTGAGATCTTATGAAACACCAGAGACTTCACACCAAAGAGTGAGGCTCTGAAAATAGAATGTGAGAAAACTTCTGTAAGTCTTGTCTGATCTGATACATGTGTCCCCTGACACCACAGCCTATACCTTAATGTTGTTTTAATTGATACTTGTTGGCTGGTATTGATGAAGGGATGTATCTACCCCAGGGTAGAATCTTTCAGAGCTGAATAAGTAATTCCAGTCAGGCTTTTCAGAGGGAGCTAGAAGCCAGAAATATGCTTGATTAATGAATTTAATTGAGTTTTGCTTCCTATAGGGCTATTTCTGGATCTAGGTGGGCCACTGTGGGCTTTTTTGGCTCAAAGTTCACATTGTCTGAGCTAGAAGGGAGCCCAGAGGTCATTGGATTAATCACTCTCATTCTGAGAAAGCCCAGAGAGGAAGGGCAGAGTTAGGATAGAGACTGGAACTCAAGGCCATGACCTGCCCACTGACATGGGTGGGTAAATTTCATATGTGTTGTCTATGGGAAGAACCTGGGATTCTACAACCCCAGAGCTGGAGGGAGCTGGAAGAGCTCAGAGAAGGAGGCCCCTCTCCAGGCAACCAAGCATAACTCCCTCATTTTACAGATGAAGACCAGAGAGGCAGAGATGATCCCACAGCAAGGAGGTGTCCAAGGCCGATTCACACCCTCATTTTCCTGACTTCAAGTCCAGGCCTCTGTCTGCTCTTCCTGCCTCTCAGCCCAGTCGGAGGGCCTTCCAAAAATGACCAGCATTGGAGTTACTCCCACCGTGATTGTGAATAAATGAGATCTCAGTGGCCATGGAATCTAATCCATTCCAGAAGGGAATTCCCTCTATGCATACATGGTGGTCATCCAGTCCCTACCAGGAGATCTCCAGTGGGGCAGCCACCACCTCCCCAGGCAGCCTATTCCACAGCCTATTCAAGAAACAGGAAGTGTTTCTTGAAATGAAGCCAAAAGCTGCCTCTTCCCCTTGCTCCTCCCAGTTCTGCTCTCTGGAGCCAAACAATACCAGCTGGTCCCTCCTTGTAGACAACATCCCTGCCACATCCCTGGTTTCTCTCTTCTCCAGGCTAAGTAAGCCTGCCATATCACTCCACTGATCATGGTCATAGGAGAGGAACTCGAGGCCTTGAGCTCTCCTGGCTGTCTTTTTCTAGCTCATTGATGTCCTTCCTGACATATGCCCACAGATAAGGGCATCTGGGGATGGCAGAGCACAGTGGGATGATCGTCTCCCTCTGTTCCCAGAAGCACAGGGCCTCTCCATGCTTGTCTTCCACCAACTCCCCCAGGTCTTTCTTTAGCCAAACTGCTGCCAGGCCACTCCTCTCCATCTTATGCTTGGTTTTTAATATTTATTTTATTTATTTTTGTTACATTTTGAGTTCCAAATTGTCTTCCTCACTCCCAACCCGCATTAGAGAAGGCCAACAGTTGACACAGATCCATATGTGGAACCATGCAATACATACATCCATAGATCAGCTCTTTCTCTAGAGGTGGATGGCATCTTCCTTCATGAGTCCTTTGTAGTTTATTTGAATGTTCATGTACTCAGAATAGCTCAGACATTCACAGTTACTCTTCAAACAATATTGCTGTTTCTGTAGACAGCTTTCTCTTGGTTCTGCTCATTTCACTCTGAATTATTTTTTGCAAGTCTTTCCAGGTTTTTCTAAGATCATTGAGCTTATTATTTCTTATAGCACAATAGTATTCCATTACATTCATATACCACAACTTCCCCAATTGATGGGCATCCTCTCAATTTCCAATTCTTTGCCACCACAAAAAGAGCTACTATAAACATTTTAGAACATATAGGTTCTTTTCCTTTTTCCTTGATCACCTTGGGAAATGGATCAAAGGGTATTCTGCACAGTTTTGTAACTTTGGGCATAATTCAAGATTGCTGTCCAAAATGAATGGTTGGATCAGTTCACAGTTCCACCGACAGTGTATTAGTATCCCCATTTTTCCATATTCCCTCCAACATTTGTCATTTTTCCCTTCTATCATTTAGCCAATCTGATAGGTGTGAGATGTTGTTTTAATTTGCATTTCTCTAATCAATAATGATCTAGAGCGTTTTTCTATGACTATATATAGCTTTGATTTTTTTCTTCCAAAAACTGCCTATTCATATCCTTTAACCATTTATCAACTGGGGAATGATTCGTATTCTTATAAATTTGACTCAGCTCTCTATATATTTGAGATATAAGGCCTTTATCTGAGAAATGGTCTATAAATAACTCCCGTCATTTTTTGCTTTCCTTCTAATCTTGACTACATTGATTTTATTTACACAAAACCTTTTTAATTTAATCAAAATTATCCATTTTACATTCACCTCTGCTCTCTATTTCATGTTTATCCATTTATCCATAAATCTGATTGGTAATATGCCCCATTCTTCTCTAATTTATTTATATCTCTTATGTCTAGATCATGTACCCATTTTAATCTTATCTTGGTAAAGATATTGGTCTATATCCAATTACTGCCAGATTTCCGGTTTTCCCAACATTTTTTTAACCAAATAGTGAATTCTTATCCCAAAAGCTTAAATCTTTACATTTATCAAACATAAGGTTACTATAATCATTTACTACTGTGTATTGTACACCTATTCTATTCCACTGATCCACCATTTTATTTCTTAGCCAGTACCAGATAGATTTGAGAATTACTGCCTTAGGGATAGCTAGATCTGCAGTAGATAGAGCACTGGCCCTGAAGTCAGGAGGACCTGAGTTCAAATCCAGAATGAGACCAAACACTTGACACTTACTAGCTGTGTGACCCTGGGCAAGTCACTTAACCCCAATTGCCTAAAAAAAGAAAAAGAGAATTACTGCCTTGTAATACAATTTAAGATCTGGTAGTGATAAGCCTTCATTTACATTTTTCACTAATTCCTTTGTTATTCTTAGCCTTTTGTTCTTCCAGATGAATTTTATTATTTTTTCTAGCTCAATAAAATAATTTTTTGATAGTTTAATTGGGATGGCACTGAATAAGTAGATTAGATAGAACCGTCATTTTTTATTATATTGGCTTGGCCCACCCATGAACAATTAATATTTTTCTAATTATTTAAATTTGGCTTTATTTGTATAAAAAGTGTTTTATGATTATATTCATATAGTTCCCGGTTTTGTCTTGGCGGGTATACTCCTAAGTATTTTACATTGTCTATAGTTATTTTAAGTAATATGTCTTATTTTAAGTAATATGTTTTACTATCTCTTCTTGCAGGGCATTGTTGCCATTATATAGAAATGCTGATGTTTTAGGTGGATTTATTTTTTATCCTGCTACTTTGCTAAAATTATTGGTTATTTCTACTAATTTTTTAGTTAAATCTCTAGGATTTTCCAACTATACCATCATGTCATCTGCAAAAAGGGATAGTTCTATTTCTTCATTGCCCATTCTGATTCCTTTAATTTCTTTTTCTTCTCTTACTGTTATTGCTAGCATTTCCAGTACAAAACTGAATAATACTGGTGATATTGGCAGCCTTGTTTCACTCCTGATATTACTGGGAAGGCTTCTAGCTTACCCCCACATTACCTATAATGCTTGCTGATGGCTTTAGGTAGATGTTTCTTATCATTTTAAGGAAAAATCCATTTATCCCTATGCTTTCCAGTGTTTTTAGGAATGAGTGTTGTATTTTGTCAAAAGCCTTTTCTGCCTCTATTGATATAATCATGTGATTTTTTTTTTGCTTTTGTTATTGATATAATCACTTATGTTAATATCTTTTCTTATATTGAGGCAACCCTGCATTCCTGGCATGAATCTCACTTGGTCAGACATATAATTTTTGTGATATATTGCTATAGTCTCCTGGCTAATGGTTTATTTAGGGTTTTTGCATCTATACTCATTAGTGAAATTGCTCTAGAGTTTTATTTGTGTGCTTGTGAAGTCATTTTGGAACCTGAGTGCAAATTTCATCTGCTTTCAAATAGTCCCAAGCTCTAGACTGCTAGGACCTTTGGGGAGTTAGGCTCTGTCATATACCCAGTGTATTAGCCATCTGCTAAATTTGATGAGCATAATACCTGTCTCTGCGGCTCATTTCCCCCTTGGCTGCACTCCCTTGGACTAGACTTCCCTACCTGGTACCTTCCTTCTGTCCCTCCCCTCCTTTCGAGGTTCCTCTTGTGTGGTGTCTCTCTCATTAGATTGTGAGGTCCTGGACGGCAGACTCTGTTTTTCATTTTAGTATTTGTATTCCCAGTGCCTAGCACAAAGTAGGTGCTTCATAAACATTTGACTGATTGACTGATCCAAGTCCTTAATGAAAATGGTAATTAGAACAGAGAAGGATAGTGCCTTGAGTCTCTCTCCAAGCCAGAAGGGGCCTCAGCAGCATCTCATTCAGCTGGTAAGTCTCCTAGGACAATGCTCTCCCCTGCAGCCTCAAGAGCCCAAAGTCTAAGGCCACCTCTTTGGAAAGAGGCTTCTGGAAGAGCTTCCCAGCCCGTGCTCCAAGGAGAGAGGGAGACACATTCCCTGGACTATTTGCTGGTTGGGCTTCCTGCCATAGGCTCTCTGCACTCCAGTACATCTTCCACTCAGCTATTGAAGGGATCTTCACCTCCTCTCCTCATAATCTCCAGTGGCTTCCCATCACTCCCAGCACCAAATATAGAATCTTCTGTAGTTTTGTAGCTCAAAGCCCTTCCTGGCCTGCCCTCTCTCCCCTTGTAAAAGCCTCAGGGTCCCTCTCCCAAGGTCTCCTTGTTTCCAGTGACATTGGCCTCCTCCAGGCATTTTCTCTGGCTGTTCTCTATACCTGGAAGCTCTTCCTCCTCGTCTCCCACCTTCTACGGGAAGCCTTTTATGAGATCACTTTTGATGCCAGTGCCTTCCCTTTCTTGATGATCCCCTTTCTATCCCTCCACAGCTTGTTTGTACATAATTATTTGCCTCTTGTCGCCCCCATTAGACTGGGAGCTCCTTGGAAATAGAGATTGTCTTTTACCATTCTTTGTACCCCCCCCCCAGCACTTAGCATGGTGCCTGGCACATAGTAGGAGCTTAATAAATGTTTATTGATTGACTGACTGTGAGAGCGGAGCTCCTCTCTTGTATTGCCGCTGGGCCGGCCTCCCTCAGAGCCCCATCCCCTTAGGACAGGGGCTTTTGTTAAAGCCTTCCCCATGTCCCCCGCCCCGGGGTGGGGGTGGCGGATGGTAGCCAGATCCCTGCTCCTCAGGCCCGGCAGCCCAGGCTGGCCGTGTGCGGGTTGGCCAGCGCCCGGCGCAGGGCCCCCTGCATGTCCCGGTTGCGCAGGGTGTAGATGGCCGGGTACAGCAGGGGCGTCAGGTAGATGTAGACGAGCGAGACCAGCTTGTCTTGCTCCAGCGAGCGGCCCTCGAGTGGCCGCGCGTACATGGCCGTGGCGGAGCCGTAGTGCAGCACCGCCACGGTCAGGTGCGAGGCCACTGTGCCCAGAGCCTTGCGGCGGCCCTCGGCCCCGGCCCCCGGGCCCAGAATGGTGGCCAGCACGTGCGCGTAGGACAGCAGGATGAGCGCCAGGGGCAGCACCAGCAGCAGGAGGCAGGCGGCCAGCAGCGCGCGCTCCTGGAGCGCCTTGTCCCCGCAGGCCAGCTCCAGCAGTGCGGGCAGGTCGCAGAAGACGTGGTTGACCAGAAGGCCGCTGCAGAAGGGCAGCTGGAAGATGGCCGTGGTGAGGGCCAGGGCCAGGGCGGCCCCGCTGGCGCAGCAGGCTGCCAGCAGCCGCCAGCACAGGGCGGGCGTCACCAGCTGCGGGTAGCGCAACGGGCGGCAGATGGCCAGGTAGCGGTCCAAGGCCATGGCGGCCAGCAGCAGGCACTCGGCGCCGCCTAGGGCTACGAAGAGGCCCATCTGGGCCGCGCAGGTGGCAGCCGACACCGGCTGACCCCCGGGGGGCAGCAGGAAGCCGGCCAGCGTGCTGGGAGTCAGAATGAGCGTGTAGGCCACCTCCACGGCGGATAGTGAGGCCAGGAAGAAGTACATGGGCGTGTGCAGCGTGCGGTCCGCGGCCGCCAGAGCCACGATCACCAGGTTGCCGGCCAGCGTGGCCGCGTAGAGGGGCAGCCCCAGCGCAAATAGCAAGACGCGCAGCCCCCGGGGCCAGCCCGAGAAGCCCAAGATCACGAAGTTGCTCGGCAAGCGTGCAGTCCAGTTGGCCTCTGGCCGCAGGCTCATGGCAGGGTCCCTAGGGAGGAAGGGACATAAGGGCCCGGGCTCGGGGCGGAAGAGGGGCTGGCACGAGAGGGGCGGGCTAGGCTGAGGGGAGCAAATTGAAATGGATGGAGCCCGCAGTGAGACCCGCCAAGAATCAGGACGTTTAGAGTTGGAAGGGGCTTAGAGATCACCGAACCTCGGCTCTCCCACCCGCAGTTTACATGGAGGAAAACCGAGGTCTAGCTCCCAGGGTGTCGTGACGGAGCGCTGTAGTAGCAACCTGACTGGATGCTCTCCTTGGCCTCTGAGAGGCCAGAGACCCGCGTTCGAAACCCAGCTGTCTCGTATCGCAGGGTCCCCGAAGGGGGGCGTTGGAAGGCTCCTCAGCCGCCCTCTGGGACATTCCCCACCAGTGGTCAGCCCGGCAGCCTCTGCGGCCCACCGCCTCCCCAGGCGAACCACACCCCTCGGGCACAGGTTAGGGGGCGTTCCTGGCAGCTGCCGGATCCCTTAGTCCTATTCCCCTTCCTCCCCATCACCACCCCAAGGTTCCGTTCTAAGGCTACACACGCTCCCCAACGAGCTCTTCCATCCCCATAGGTAACAAATTTGCTTTCAACTTTGAACCTTTTCCTTTCCCACTCCCTCCATCTTCGGGCTTTGAGCTCAGTCGTGTCTAACCTTGTCCCGCCGTGGTTGCACTTTCATTCATTCCCCTGACTCTGGTTCCTCACTGAGGGAGGTGAGGGAATAAGAACATTCCTTACACCCTCCACCACCGTCACGGGAGTTTCGATCCTTAGCTACCACCTAGTCGAGATTCTGGTAGCTGTTGTCTGTGGACCTTGAGGAAGGGGTTGAGGGAAGAAAGCAACCGTTCATTAAGCTCCTACTATGTGCCAGGCACTGTGCTAATCCAGCCCCAGACACTTACTAGCTGTGTGACCCTGGACAAGTCATTTAATCTCTCTGCCTCAGTTTCCTCAACTGTAAAAGAGGAATCATAGTAGCACCTACCTCCCAGGGTTGTGTGAAGATCAAGTTCGATAATATTTGTAAAAGGCACTTAGCACAGTGACTGGCACATAGTAGGAGCCATATAAATGTTTATTCAGTTCCCCTTCCCCACCAAATCCTCTTCGTCTCCAACCTTCTCTATTAATATAAGGACACTACCAACCTCTCAACCTAGGAGTTGTCCTGGACTCCTCCTCACTCTCTCTCATTCTCCATATCTAGTATGATGCTGAGGCCTGTCCCTATCACCTTCACAACATCTCCCAACTATGCCCCCTTATCTCCTCTGCTACTGCCCCTGGCCTCATCACCTCATGCCTGGACTATGGGTTCTGCTTGCCTCAAGACTCTCCTCTCTCCAATCCATTCTTCATTCAGCCACCAAAGCTCAAGTCCAACCATGTCACCTCCTAGTCAATAAACTCCAGTGGTTCCCCATTGCCTCCAGGAGCAAACACAAATATTTTGTTTGACATTCAAAGCCCCTCATAACCTGGCCCCCTCCTGCCTCCTATGCCTCACTCTGAACCACATAATCCTCGATTCCATGACACTTTTTGGCCTCCTGGCTGTTCCATGAACCAATGACTGTTTCCCATGCCTGGAATGCCTCCCTCTTCATCTCTACCTCCTGGCTAATTCCCTGGCTTCCTTTAAAGTCCCAACTAAAATCTGAACTCCTTCTGGAGGACTTTATTGATTCCCCTTAATTATAACACCCTCTCTCTGACATTATCTCCAACTCACTCCATCTACAGCTTTTTAGTACGTAATTACTTTCATGCTGTCTTTACCATTAAGCTGTGAGCAGAGACTGTCTTTTGCCTTTCTTTTTATACTTAGCACAATGCCTGGCACATAGTAGGTGCTTAATCAATGTTTGTTGACTGAATGACACTCCAACCCCAGCTCTTTTTCACACAAACTGCTCTAACCCTAACCCTACCTCCCCCAGCCCAAGGATAATACTGGACATTGACTCCAATTCCATGTCATTTTGGCAGGTTTTGTTCAATGCTCCAGCCTGCCAAGGTTCTTTCCCATCTGACCATATGTCTGTTGTGCTTCCTGACTTGTCCCCTTCAGATCGGATACAGATGCCATCTCTGCTTTTGTTCAAGACTGGAAAAAATGATTAACAGCACCTCCAGGGGTCTTCTTACTACTTTTGTCCCAGAAGGTCAAACTAAGGTTAAAGGGTAGAAGCTGCAAAGAGACCGATTCGGGCTTTGTGTAAAGAACTAAGTGTGAAAAAGGCTGCCTTGAGAGGTGATGATTTCCTGTCCACGGAGATCTCCGAGCCAAGGCTAGATGCCTGTGTGGGGTCAGGATTTCTGTTCCATATCAGTTGGACTACATGGCCGCTGACATCCAGCCATGAATAACTACCACTCAATGGATTCCAAATGGCTGGACTATTCTACATGCATGGCCTCTGATTCAGGTCCCTTTCCTCACCAACTCTATGACCTATGAGCTTATGAATCTGTGAGCTGGGCATGTTTAGTCCAGAGTAGAAAAGACTCCAGGCAGAGCTGATAGCTCTGTTCAGGTATTTGAAGGTTGTCCTGTGGATTTGATTAGTTCTGCCGAGAGCAATGGGGGAGGTGGTGGGTGGGGAAATGTTGCAAAGATCCTGTCCCAGAAAGGGATGGGCCACCTCCAGAGGTGGTGGGCTCTTCCTCTTTGGAGGGTCTCCAAGCAGGGGCTAGCTTATTGCATCTAAGGCATGCTATAGTGAGGATTCCTTTCAGGGGTGGATTGGACTGGCTGGCCATTAACTTTGCTTCCAGTTCTCTCACTGCATGCTCCAATAAATTCAATAAAAATCACGGACAGGTCTGAGTGGTTAGCACAGAACCTTATACACAGTTGGTGCTTAATAAGTTCTGAAATAACACCGAGCAAATGCAGAAAGTCCAGCATAACTGGCATCCCCTTCCCTCAGCTCATGGTGTTTATTTCACTGATTTATTTAACTGTGTTCAGTACGAATCTGCTAGCCCTTGGAGAAGGGCTAGCAATGGGACATGGGCTGCTTTTATTTCCTCCTTTTTTCCTGAGATCAAATGATGTTTTTAGAAGATATTTGGCTTTTTCAGGAACACCCTGTCGTGGGGATGGCCTCCATCAGACCTCAATAGACATGCCTGCTCCTAGTTGTCTCAGTGGGCAGGCACCACCAGAGCTCATCTGTGTCATCTCTGAAGGCTTGCTTCCCTGCCCACTTTTCTAGACACCTCCCTCCCCCCACAGGATATGCAAAGGGAACCTTGTGTAGAATATTAGTCCTGCAAGGGGCTTTCAAGCACAACCTCCTCCTCTTGTTACAGATGGAGAAACTGAGGCCCAGAGATGACAGGTACTTACTTGCTCCAAGGGCATTCTGGAAGTGTGTGTGAGCTGGGACCTGGACCCTGCTCTCCTGACTTTTGGCCCTTTTGTGAACCCCGTGTCTGTGTTCAGTGAATGGTATTAGGTGGCTGGGATTGGACCAGGGTTTAGCTGGGGCTGGTCTGAAAATCCCAGGGCAGGGAGATGAACCAAGGAATTGCCCAGACCCTGAACTAGGCATTGAAGGTAACTAATGCCTGGGTCGTTTCCCTCATTCTCTGGTGGCTGTTCTTGCTCTGATTGTGCCAGCCTGGCTGATGGCAAACAGACAGACAGAGACAGGGGAGATTGAGGAAGTGACAGAGATAGAGAGGAGGGAGAAAGAAGAGGAGAGAAAGAGAAACAGAGGCAAAGAGACAGAAAGATCAATGGGAAAGACAGGGAGACAGAAATGAGAATAAGAGAGAGGATGAAAGACAGAGAGAAAATGAAGGAGACAGTCAGAGGGAGAGAGATAAAGGATGAGGAGCAGAGACACAGACAAAGTGAGAGACATAGAGGGAGACACACCTGGAGACCCATAGAGGTACAGACAGAGAGAAATCATGGGATAGGGGAACTGGGAGAGAGAGGGAGCCCCTGTGCTCAGGGTCCCACGTGGCAAACTTTGCCTAGACCTGGGGAGCTCTGCCTGCCCATCTGGGTCTGTGCTGTGGATAGGTTTGCCGGGAGCTGACAGCACAGACACCCCTATGCTCATGGGCCATGAGGTCCCCCCTGGAAGGGTGTGGCTCACTGTCTCAATCTCCTGGCCTTTACCCCTCCCCCCTCCCCCCCCCACTCCCTGCTCCCCACCAGCCCTGACCCTCCATCCTTACCACTCTCTTCTTTCCCCACCTTCAGCCTTGGCCACCTCTGGCATGTGTCTCTCAGGCCCTGCCCTCAATGGGTAGGGAACATCAGCTTTGGACTGGGTATCTATAAGAAGGACCCTTCTTGCTTTCCCCACCCCAACCTAACTCATGGTCCCCTGTGCTTCCCCAGGGTCTGGGGGAATATGGGCTTAGGGACTCAAGCGGGACTCAACAGGGGAGCAGGCAGGTAGGCAGGGAGGGAATCTTCCAGCCTCAATTCCCTGCATCACTGGGCAGAATTGGAACCACTAATGAGCCCCCTTGAGCCTTGTTAGGGTCCCTGTCCCCAAGGCCTCATTAAGACTGATGGGACCCAGTTGGACCCCGAGGGGCTAGAGGGAGAAGGGAGAGCACTCAGGGAATTAGGGTATTCCAGGATTGTTGGGACCTCCCAGTCTCTGCCTCTCCCACCATCATCTTCCCCCTGTCTAATCTAAATCTCTCTCAGTCCCAAAGGTATCAGTCATCAGGATGTACTAAATGGTCAATGGGTCTCCAGCCTCCATGCCCTCTCCTTCACCCAGTCCATCCTTCACATGCACCCCAAGGTGCCTTCCGCATGCCCCCTCTAATTGTAGCTCACCTCTGTCCAGATCTTTCAGTGGCTCCCCGTGGCCTTCCAAAGATTTTAAATGCCTGATCCCAGCATTCGAGGATATCCACCATCTGGTGACAGTCTTTCTGAGATCCGTTTGTTCTCCTCACTTCCTTTTCCAGACCCTGAGCTACAGTTGGACTGGAAGACTGCCCTGAGTT